TTTTTTTTTTTTTTAAAGACAGAGTCTTACTTTGTTACCTTTGGTAGAGTGCTATGGCATCACAGCTCACTACAACCTCCAGCTCTTGGGCTTAGGTGATTCTCTTGCCTTAGCCTGCCAAGTTGCTGGGATTACAGGCATCCACCACAATGCCCTGCTATTTTGTTGTTGCTGTTGTTGTTGCAGTTTGGCCAGGGCCGAGTTTGAACCCACCACCCTTGGTATAAGGGGCCGGCACCCTACTCATTGAGCCACAGGTGCCACCCTGGGGTCTCATTCTGGCTCCAGCTGGTCTCCATCCTGTGAGTTCAGGCAATTCACCCACCTTGGCCTTCCAGACTACTAGGATTACAGGTGTGAGCCACCATGCCTGGCCTACACTGTTTATATGATGGAGTACGGCAGCGATCATTGACATGGGGCAACATATGCAACTTGTCTCTGGCAAATTGACAGCAAATACTTGCCTTTTTCACCTCTCTTAAAATCCTGCCAGCTGCCATTGCTGTGTGCTCAATGAGCCTGATTTGGGGGACTTAACAGGTATTACAGGAGTGAGGCTATGAGGGCTGGCATAAGTAGATGACAGCTGCTTCACTGAATGAAGATGGGTGGGAGGGTATATCACAGGCATAAAATTCTAATTCAAGAATAGATATCCTTCTCTTCAGAATCTTCCTAAGACTAAGGACTTCCTAAGGGACAGTGTTTCTAATATGAAGTAATTAATCAACATATACACAGCATGTAAATAAAATATTTTCAGGCACAAAATACTTTATCCTCAGTGCCTAATAACATGCCTGACATATACTTGTTCAAAAGAGTTGTGTTATGAAAGCAATGAAAGGGAAAATATACAATACAACTACAGTTCCCATTATTCTGAAATTCAAACTTAGAATTTCTACCAAGGTCTGAATTGTGCTTTGCTTTGAAAATACTACAAATACAATGTTTAGGGAAAGGTTTAAAATGTAAGAATCAATTAACTTGCCCCACTCTACGGGTTAACTCAGCAAGTCTTCTAGACCAGGTGCATGGTGCAATCAGCTGAGCCAGGAGAGATAGAAGGAAGTGACTTTCTTTGAAAAGGTCACACAGGGCCAGGTGTGATGGCTCATGCAGGTAATCCCAGCACTCTGGGAGGCCAAGGCAGGTGGATTGCCTGAGCTCACAGATTGGAGACCAGACTGAGCCAGAGCGAGACCTTGTCTCTAAAAATAGCCAGGCCTTGTGGCAGGTGCCTATAGTTCTAGCTACTCAGGAGGCTGAGACAAGACAATCGCTTGAGCCCAAGAGTTTGAGGTTACTGTGAGCTCTTACTTCACAGCACTCTACTGAGGGTAAAAAAGTGAGACACTGTCTCAAAAAAAAAAAAAAAGAGAGAGAGAAAGAAAAGAAAAAGTCACACAGGAGACCGATGACACTTGCTTCTCTCTTCCATTTCCTGCAAGCATGCAACTTTGAGCTTCAGCAAATACAGCCAATGGCTACAGAGAAGGACAAAGGGTAGCAGCATATTCAAAAGCATTTTTTTTTGCAGTGGTGAGCAGAATCAACACAGCAGTTTACAGTTAGCATGCTTTATTGAGACAATCTGCATACCAAAACGCCCCAAATGAACTAGGTCCAAATTCCCCTTCTGCCACTAATAAAGCTATACCAAATTTGAATAGTGCTTAATGTGTAGGGACAAAAAAGAACTTGCAATCTCAATCTCTCAATTTATGAACCAGTGCTATTATGAGGATTAAGTAGGATACTGGATAAAGAACTGTCTATAAAGCTTGGCAGGTGTAGATACTGCTTATCTCATGGTCACTGTTATTTAATACACATGATTTATTTCATAGATAACCTAATTAACATCAGACACTTTTATGAGTATTGAGATTACAAAGCACTCAGTTACATTATGCTCTGTACTGCGAGATGATTTTCTCTTAAGACTGGACTTGACTCACCTGTGTTTCAACAAATACCAACAAATCCACCTATTCAAACCAATAATACTGTTTATAAAATATTTAGTAATCAGAGTTTTCAGACTTGTTAAAGAAAATTCTTTGAAATGTCATGTAGGTCAAAGGTTGGGGGAATGTCTTCCAGCCGGTTGCAAGGTATTTTTCAAGAAGTAGGCTGACACCCGCAGCTATTGAAAAGCAAGTATTACTGACTTTCCTACCGCCAGTGTGTGACCACAGCAAAAATCAGCAGCCCCTAACTGAAGAGTTCCACAGTGTTGTCTGCTGTATTCCACCTTCCTTCGCAGAGAAACCGGAAACCTTGTAACCAGAGTAATGCAGATTCCTGGCTACTTCTGGAATCTGTTTCTAAAGCGGGAAGCTTTGTGTATTGTTTCTCTCTCAACAAAGAAAAGGAAAAGGTTTGTTGTTTCTGTCTCATTTTTTCAATGTCCTGCCCCAAAGGACCTCAATTTCTCTTCTCCCACTCTCTTCAGTCATGTAATACTGAAGTAGCAACAAAAGCTGAGCCGTAGTTGTTTTCCCCACTATGAGTAGCACTTGGGTGGACCGAAACAGGTCAAATTAGAAAACCAGGTTCTCATCCTCACCAGCATAGTACAAATATTGACAGCGTCAGGGAGCGAGGCAGCAGAGAGAAGGAGAAAAGCACCCTCTTGCCTCACTGAGAACAGTCTTCTCACCTCAGGAAGGCAAGAGAAAGAAAAAAAAATGGTAAGGAAAAGAAATGAGAGATTATTTTCAGGGATTACTTCTATAGTTCATTTCCAGAGAAGTCTGAACGTGGAGGACCCCGGAAACTGCAAGGTGGCTGCACGGCCTTCTCTCCTGAGCTGCAGGCGGATCTGGAGGCACCTTGGCTGCAAATGCCACTTGCCCTTGATGATCCTTCCTTTCTTCCTCCCGGAAAGAGGGAGAGGACACGGTCTGAATGGTTCCCATTTAAAATAAAAAAGGACACACATAATTTTTATCACTGTTGCATGTGTATTTGGAAAATACCTGATTTTTCTCTTTCTAAGGTATAGGATTCTACAAAAATAAACAAAAATAAAAAAGGAAAAGAGAAACTAATAATGGTCTCTCAGAGTAAAGCATCTGTGGCTAGAGCAGAATTAGTGTTCTTCTTCTCTCTGATTAAGAACTTTTGTATGGGTGGCACCTGTGGCTCAAAGGTGTAGGGCATAGGCCCCATATGCAGGAAGTAGCGGGTTCAAACCCAGCCCTGGCCAAAAACTGCAAAAAAAAAAAAAAAGTACTTTTTTATCAATTAAACAGAACATCTACAATCCCAAGATGTATTTCACCAGTACATTATATTACAATGTTAATAATTTACATAGAAACTGAATTTTGTCCGGAATGAGAACATTTGTTGCATAGTTTCTCAAAGCACCCAAATTGTTAGTGTTTAGTCAAAAGACGAGCAGAACCAAGCTTGCCAGGATGAATGCTAAAGAAAAAAGAAGGGACAACCCAGAGATTTTCATTGCAACTTAATTTTCCATATAAGCTATTTTAAAAATATGTAAAATCAGGGGACAGGGGAAGGGGGGCTGGCGGTCCTCCCACTGAATGTAGGAGTGTGTGGGAGCACACCTTTGGGGTGCAGGACACAGCTACAATAGGGACTTTACCTAACAAAGTCAAATATTGTGATTTAGTTGTTTGTACCCTCACATTAACTTGAAATTTTACAAATGTAAAATAAATATTCTAGTTAAACTTTGTCATTATACCAGTAGTATTATCCAATTCAAGAAGGCTATCACAGCCAGGTATAGTGGCTCACACCTATAATCCTAGCACTCTGGGAGGCCAAGGAGGGAGGTGCACTTTAGCTCAGCAGTTCGTGACCAGCATGTAAAAGAGTAAGACCCCATCTCTACAAAAAATAGAAAATTAGCCAGGTGTGGTGGCGTGTGCCTATAGTCCCAGCTACTTGAGAGGCTGAGGCAGGAAGATCCCTTCAGCTCAGGAGTTTGAGGCTGCAGTGAACTATGATGACACCATTGCCCTCTAGTCAGGTGACAGAATGTCAAAAAAAAAAGGGGGGGGGCTATTATAGCAGCCTGTATAGCCTATGGCTAGGAGGAGTGAGAGTTATAGGAAATACCTGTAATGGAACACCTTGGTGAAAAGGGCATGGAGAGAGATTTGGTTCTAACAAGCATGAGAGAGCTCGCGAGATGAGCAGCGGTGAATCGGCAGTCTCTACACCTGTGGTGTTGAGAGGCACGAGCCCAGCCTTATATTAGGCTGGAGGAGAGGGCAGTCGGGAGCATGCGCATTCTTTCACGGATCCACTTACTCTGACTCTGTCTTCTCTCCTGCCTGCAGAACGCCGGCACGGTGTCTCTCTGCTGAAGATTACCAAGCTCTGCTAAAGACTAAGCTCTATCTGTTCTAAGGGGGCTGCTTTACTTTCTCTAAGATACTCTGTCTCTCTCTCTCTGCAGCTAAAGTAGATAGCCCTCAAGCACCTACGAGAAACTGTTCCTGAGCGAGGGAACTTAGTGGTCCGTGTCCAGAACCTGCCGAAGCTGGGCCCGAGACCTGGCCAGTCCCGGGCCCCGACAAGTGGTGTCAGAAGCGGGATAGTGAACGCCACTGACAAATGGTGCTGTGAGCGGGTTCAGTGAATGCGGACCGAGAGGGAGATAAGCTTTAGCAAAATAAGAAAAAGAAGAGAAATAGAAATACTTAGAGGGAAAAGAAATATCTAAGAAAGACAGACAATAGTAGGCCTTTCTCGTTTGCTTTTTTCCTCTTTCCTATACTTTCTCTTTCCAAATTCTAACTACTACTGTGGGAAAAGCCGGTAAAATCCTTCAGCCTCTTCTGTGAAGCGGCTGGAGCGAAACAGAAAAAAGCCTCTGAACAAGAGGGAAAGAGAAAAGGTAGACCTAGGAGATAAGAACCTTTAGCAAACAAGCCTTTTAGCCTCAGGGGTGAGAAAAGCCTTTGGTAAAACAGCAAAGAGAAAAGTTTGGGAATAGGTTGCAAGAGTTTATTAAGTTAGGGAAGAGAACTTCTAACTGCCTTCCCCTAATACCTTCGCCCAATGCCAGCAGGAAGTAGCTTTTGAGAGACCGACGCCCGAATCCCTTTTTGGCAGTTAAGAGTTCTGCTTAAAAAGAAAAGAATTGAGGTAGATTGAGGCTGGTGAAGAAATAGAAGTGAATTTCATAAAACTAAAACTCCAAAGTGAAAAACAGCTAAAGAGTTCTTGTCCCTTTAAGGCAGTCAAAGGTTCTAAGAATTGAAAAGGAAAGATTGTAAAAAGTAGAAGGCCGAAAGAAAGCCAGTAAAGAAAGATCATGGCAAATGAGATACAGCAGTTGAAATACAGTTGAGAGATCAGATGAATCTTATAGTAGAAGCAGGTAAACGCCATATTGACGTGACAACTCAAATTGGGCAGCTGGAAGATCAGAGGGTAAATCCCCCAGTTAAGATCAAATGCTGTATATGTGGGAAGCTAGGCCGTAAGAGAAAAGTGTTTAAAAGGGAAAAGACTTTGAATGCTAAAGAAAAGGAACAAAGTGCGCGTAAACCTCCAGATGTACGTCCTAAGTGTAAAAAAAGGCTTTCATTGGGCAAACAAATGCCATTATCAATTTGATAGAGATGGAACACCTTTATTGTAGGGAAATTATCAGTTGGGCCAGAATCAGGACCCACTGGTAAAACAGTTTATCTTCACTTCAAACCATTCTCAGAAAAAAACGGAATAATTCAATTCTATGCCGTGGGAGCCCTCTGGCAGCTTGGTTAGACCTTGGGTGCCTCAGCATAAAACTGAGGAAATTAAACCAGACCAATGGATGACAATGGAGAATAATTAGATTAAATGTTTGTGGAATATTAGGTTATCCTGCGTGGTGAAGGGGTAACCCACCTCTCATCAGTGTCTGTGCACTACAACCGGGTCCAGCTGAGGAGACTGGACACGGCCCAAAGGGGGAGTGTCACTAGGAAGCAAGTGAAGCCTTTGGGAGATTATGAGGAGAACAAAGGGAGGGAAGAGTAAAAGTTAAACCACCTCTGTGCTAGGGAACTCCATTTGAAAAAGGAGTCTGGAATCAATTAGCAAATTTCACTGGAAAAGCAGGAAAAACTCTGCTATCAAGGAATTGTGAAGAGTGGTACTTTTTGGACCACGAGTAACAGTTCCACCAGAGGAACTGCCAAGTGTGGAACCATTAATCCACAAGTAACAGTCTTTTGCGATCTATGAAGGGTGGATTTCAGTACCGCAAGTAGTAAAACCTTTGGAATAGTGAGAGAAAAATTCTCTGCTTGCAAAGATTGCAAGGAAAGCATTATCTTTTGTTCGTTAAGTAACTACCAAAGGAAAGTTCCTACAGTTAAAGAAATGGTAAATTCTCTCAGGAAAGATTTCGCAGTTTTCTCCATTTAAAAAGACCTTTAAGGGACTTAACATCACAATCATTTTCCTCTAGCAGTGGCTAATAGTTTACATCTGTGTTGGGCTTCCTCATTTAAAGAGGCCATACCTAGAATTCTGAACTCTGATAATTACCATCTTTTGCCTAGAAAGAAAAGGGCTAGATAACAGGAAGAACTGCCCTTACCACATTAAAAGTTACTGTTTGTATATACAAAGGGGGGGAAATGTAGCAGCCCATATAGCCTATGGCTAGAAGGAGTGAGAGTTGTAAGAAATATCTGTAATGGAACACCTTGGTGAGAAGGGCATGGAGAGAGATTTGGGTCTAACAAGCATGAGAGAGCTCGCGAGATGAGAGCAGTGGTGAATTGGCAGTCGCTACACCTGTGGTGTTGAGAGGCACGAGCTCGGCCTTATATTAGGCTGGCGGAGAAGGCAGTCGGGAGCATGCGCATTCTATCACGGATCCACTTACTCTGACTCTGTCTCCTCTCCTGCCTGCAGCATGCCGGCACGGTGTCTCTCTGCTGAAGATTACCAAGCTCTGCTAAAGACTAAGATGTACTGTTCAAAGTAAGACTGCTTTACTCTAAGACACAGTATCTCTCTCTTCTCCCCCCTCCCCCCCCAGCTAAAGTAGGTAGCCCTCAAGTACCTAAGAGAAACTGTTCCTGAGCGAGGGAGCTTAGCGGTCCGGGTCCGGAACCTGCCGAAGCTGGGCCCGTAGACCTGGCCAGTCCCGGGCCTTGACGAGTGTCAGAAGCGGATCCTGACAGGCTATCATTTCAATATTTTAATAAATGAACATTTATCCTCCCAGAACAAAAGTATGGACACGATTTGCTTGGGTCTACTCTAAAGAACTGTTTAAAATCCAGGAATGTAGTACATAGAAGATAATGAATTGGGGCTAGTTTTAGAAATAAAACTAAGGAGGGGTGCCTGTGGCTCGGTGGGCAGGGCACCAGCCTCATATACCGAGGGTGGCGGGTTCAAACCTGGCCTGGGCCAAACTGCAACAAAAAAATAGCTGAGCATTGTGGCGGGCACCACAAGTTCTAGCTACTTGGGAGGCTGAGGCAAGAGAATCTCCTAAGCCCAGGAGTTAGAGGTTGCTGTGAGCTGTGATGCCATAGCACTCTACCGAGGGCAACAAGATAAAACTCTGTCTCAAAAATAAAACTAAGAATCCTAAGAATCCTCTCTTAAAATGTATCAGTAATGATAAAATGGCTAAATGCAGTTTCAAAAGTTAACCTCCTTCCAAGTTGGCCATTATGAAGCTTAAAACTGTTAACTCTTCAACTTAATTCCAATACTGGAAAAACACATCTCCTTTCCCAATGTAGAGCTTTTTCAAAAATACTATTATTCATACATATGCACAAAGAATAAAAAAACAGCTGAAAAAGAGTGGTGTGAGGATGCTTAAAATAGGCTGCCAGGTGAATGAAAGGAAAAGTTCAAGTGAACAAGAAAAAAGGAATAGGAAAGAATTGGGTGACCCGTGGCAGAAGTTCAGGGGAACAGCTAGATACAAGCAAATCATACAGTAATGCAAATATTTATTTTCCGCTTACAGTTGGCAAAAGACAGTTCAAATTCTCACTCTCATTAATGAACCACACAAGTATCACGTTAGAGAAATGTGTTCCAAAAATTCACACTTCACATTCTGGGTTGGTTGTATGTAACCCCCAAATCTTTCATGGGGATGCATCAGCACTGCTGCAGTTTACAAAAGGAAACCACCCAAAGACGTCAGAAAAGTTGATTATATCTCGAAGAAGTGAACCACCTTTTTCTTTCAACGCTGAGTTTTGCTTTCAGTGTCAAAATCAAGATCAAGATTATATACAAACAGTATCAAGTGACTGCTAGAAAGCAGAAACTTCAAAACAATGGCATGACAAGTTCAATGCAGTATACACGTCAATTTGTACATTAGACAGAAAAATGGCTAATGACTATAGGCATTAATCAACCACAATGTTAGGACCAACTGGGATTAAATTCTGGCTTAGTTGTTACACATGTTATACGTGAGCCCTTGTTAGCCAAAGATTATTTTTCAATGTTCAACTCCTCATACATCCTATCCTAGATAAGGTCTCTAGTTTTCATTGTGAGATTGTTAGGCACTTCCTAAATGAGATTAGCATAACTTCTGTTAAAACTAGCAAAAAAAAAAAGTCTTAACACAATAACTAAGAAAATGCCGCAAAGGCTATGTTAACCAGTTCGATGAAAATATTTCAGATTGTATATAGAACCAGCATACTGTACCCCATGACTACATTAATGTACCCAGCTATGATTTAATAAAATAGCAAAAATAGACCACTTACCTCCATTCAATATTTCTACATGAATTATTTTACGCACATATACTCAGAGATGACTCTATGGTCCTAATTAACAATGAAATTTAATAATTCCTACAAAACTTTCATAGTCCAATATCTTATGAAGTATTCAAAGAATCAAATATATTCAGTTAATGTGTCAGATATTTACTTAAAGTTTGTTTTAAGCTATTTTAAGATAGACTCCTTTAATAAAAAGAACTAGGCTCATTCATCTATGGCCACAGAGTATGTCTAGCATTTGTGCCCCAAAAGGACTCAACAGGCATTAAAGAATTAAAGGTATTATTTTGCAACAAATGGTCAAGATCAAAGTCTTGAAAAAATGAATATAGCAGGTAAAATACTCATTCAAGAATGACATACAGAGTATGCAAACTTTTGTAGAAAATTTTAAGGCTCCCATAACAAGACTACAAATTTCTAGAATCAAGCATGCAGAGGAATGGTGAATATTAATTTATAGTGATGATTACCTCTGGGCAGGAGAGTAGGGGCAGTAGGATCATGAGGCATTCAAAAGGCCTCAGAACAGCTTATTGGGATCTAACATAAATGTTATCATGTTAAATTCTGATGGAACAGGATGGATATGTATGCTCATTATTCTTTTCATGTCGGCATACTGACAATTTTTTTTAACATAGAAATAAGAACCCCAGAACTTTGCAGAAGCAATCAGCAGTGAGCGTACTGACGCAGCAGGAGCATTTTCCAGCTAATCATGTGTTTTATAAACACCATTCATTTGGAGGTCAATGATTAATGACCTATGCATCTTTTACAATTTTAATGTATAGTTGTATACCTAAGTTTTTTAAAAAATGCATTTCCATTTTTAAAAATGAGAACTAAATTACAAAACAGTATTTTAAGATAAATTTGTAACAACTGTAATCCTATTTCATTTGATCTAATTCACAACAGAATATATATTTTCCCCATTTGTATTTAATTCCATGATCCTCAATCACCTTCTCACTTGAAAGGATTCCAAATGGCATGTGTTGGTTTAATCCCAAATTTTCAAAGTATATTCTCATTTACATAGTCAAAGGAGCTTCTCCTTATTCTCAGGTCAAATAAGACAGGAGCTTACTAGAATACCTTATAGTAAAAATGCATGTCTGCATGTTAAAAGCCTGAGACATTCTACAGGAAACAGAACTCCCAGTTTCTCAAGGTCATTTGAACCCAGGTTCTTTTCTGTGACATTTATAATATCTTCTTTCCAGAGCACATGCTGAGGAGAATATTGAGAATGCCATATTGAAACAGTCCTTCACCTTTTCATAGGACACATATGCTACACTTACAGCCCCAGATGTTTACTGACTTGTCTTTTTAACTTTCTCATTAGGGCTGCTACTTTTCCTCCTAGGAAATTTACTCAGAAAGGTACTGACAAGGTCAGGTAACCCAATGGTTAGTATTATGATTTTAAAGGTCCCCCCCAGTCACATTTTATAAAAGTAAAAGCAACAAGAGGCTTTATTTTTACTGATAAAGCATTTAAAATTTTTATCTTCAAATTAGGATATGGTAACTTCACTAACTGAAAAAATTAATTTGACTAAGCATTAACTAGAAAATGCTTTGATTCTTGGTGAAAAAAATATTTCAGTTTTTTTAAAGACAAACTGATTTTTTTCCAACTGAAATTTTATTAACTGAAATTTAGCTGAAAGCGCCTTCATCCAAGTCATCCATGAGAATTTGTACATTGAAACATGATTATCCTTAATATTTCTTTTCCTATGGTCTTTTCCCTCAAAAACTATTGAAAAATCAATACAGTACACTCCATTAAATTAAGATTTTACTGCATGTTGTTAAGAGTAACCACATATTTTCAACAAGTCTTACATCTCCCTTTGAGAGATGATCATCCTTAAAATGAATATAAATTAATAAAATGCATTAACAACAATTTCTTCATTCAAGGAAATCTTTGTATTTCCTGATTGGGTCAAAGCTACTTGAATCACCTTTTACCTCAGTAACTGAGTGTACTTCCAACATGAAGAACAGAAAAAAAACTAGTAGTAAAGTCAGGAATTTTATTACAGCAAATACTTTCATGGCATTTAAAGAACTATTTTATTTCTTTACAATGGGTTTAAAATGGAGAAACTAAGCCAGCTGAGAAATCTTTATTTTAAAAAGAAAAAGAAATCAAACCACCAAAAGATGCATTTCATATAATAGCAAAATATAAAAAATAGAAGCCAAGTGATAGAATTGAAAAAATAAGCAGTGGATTTAAGAAACTTTGATTCTACCCATCTGACTCATCCTTTTTGTCTTCCCATTATTAAATGTACAGGCCTGGTAATAATTTAAGATAACCTTGCAACACTTACTAGGTTAGAAGGAATTACTGGAAATGTGCTCAAATACTTTATAAATACCTTAACAAAAATATTTATTTTATTATAGTTTTGTCATGCTTCAGTGACGGTGTCCTTTTAGAGCAGACTCTTGTTTCTTAAAATTGTTTCGAATGTTTATCTAGAAATGATAGCTTTCTTCCAAAGTGATACTCCCAGCTTATCACAATAGTTCTGATTAAGAAAAACAATACTGCATACCAGAATTTTCCTGCCTGAGGAAAAGAGAACTGTAGCACAATTGTAAAGCTCCGAAACTTGGTTCGGTCAAGTTATGGATTGTCCAACTGACATATTTTGTTACTCCAGTCACTTTTCAAGCATCATTTTGAAATCATATTCTATATTGGGGTGACATATATTAAATTTCATATAAATAGGAAATCTCTGTAAACATCTGCAGTTCTAGCTGTTTCTTTGAATAGATTTTCTCCCCCAAGAGAGCTGCTCCAGTGAAGAATTATTGCTCATATATCCTGTCCAAAGCAAAAAACCTCAATATCTTTTCTGAAAAGACAGAAATACTCAAGTAATGTCAAAGCTTTCTGTAATCACGGGATTGTCCACCTATTACAAGCATATAATCGCTCCCGACAGATTCCTGATGAATTAAATTTCTCCAGTTACTCAAAGCTCATCAGATGTACTGTTAACCTTTGCTAATTCACACTCTTCACTGGTGTGACAACTCTGAAGGATATCTTTGTAGTAGTTCTTCAGGTCCTCATACAATGAAACAGTTTTTTGCGAGTGAGCCAAGGGTAACACCTTTTCGTTTAATAACAACTGCACTCGGAATTTTTCTTTAGGAGTCTTAGCATTTTCACAATGGTAAAGCACAAATATTAGGTTCGAGGCATAAGGTACAATGTGACCACTGCGGAACTTCCGATGCATTTGTTCCTTGTAATTGTAAGCTGTTAGGGGATCCTTGTCTTTGAAGTAGCCCATGAGAGAAAGCAGTGGAAGAAGGGTCTCTGCATGACCAAACTGGAGGATGACTGGAGAAGAAACTGGCTGAGACCTTAAAGGAGAAATTGAGGGGAGAAAAGTATATATATTTATGTCATAGAATGTAATATCTACAATTAGAAGTAGTATCCAACTCTGCCATCATTTTGTAAGTTTAGATTTCTTTCTCTCTCTTTTTTTTTTTTTTTTCTTTTTTTTGAGACAGTCTCACTATGTTGCCCTGGGTAGAGTGCTGTGGCATCACGGCTCACAGCAACCTCAGGCTTAAGCAATTCTCTTGCCTCAGCCTCCCAAGTAGCTGTGTGACTACAGGCACCTGCCACAATGCTCGGCTATTTTTTTGTTGCAGTTGTCATTCTTTAGCTGGCCCAGGCCAGGTTCAAACCCACCACCCTCAGTTCCTGTGGCCAGTGCTGTAGCCACTGTATTGTGGGCGCTAAGCCAAGATTTCTAATAAAATGCACTTCCATTTTTAAGAAATAGAGCTAAATTACAAAACAGTATATTAAGATAAAACTATAATTTTCCCATCTATTTCATCTGAAATAGAATAATTTAGTTACAATTGTAATTACAATTACAATAGTAAATTATCCTACCTAATTTACAATTGAGTACAATTTTTCCCCACATCTATTTCATTCCAAGACCCACCACACTCTCACCTGAAGGAAACTCAAATGGCATGTGTTGGCTTAACACCAGAATTTCCAAAGGATATTCTCATATACTCTCATACTTCATTTGTTTAAATAGTCCCATATATATATATGTACATATATATAGCTCAAGCACATAGCTCACATTCTGTGTGGAAGAACTGAACTTTCGAGTGTATGTGGTGTCTGTGAATGTATTTTAAGAGATGAGGTCTCACTCAATTGCCGAGGCTTTAATACAGTGGTAGCTCAGTGTAACCTTGAACTCCTGGGCTCAAGCAATCATCCTGTCTCAGCCTCCCAAGTATCTGGGACCACAGGCACACAAGCACCATGCTCAGGTAAATTTAAAATATATTTTTAGAGACAAGGTCTCACTATGTTGCTCAGGCTGGTCTTGAATTCCTAGCCTCAAGCCATCCTTCTGCCTCAGCTTCCTGAGTAGGAGAACTGAACTTTTAAAATAGTTAAAAGTTCCAAAATTCAGTCACTGTCGTGTTGCAAATCCATGTACATCATTCTTTCAGTTTAAGGACAGAGTATGAGTTTTGCAGATTAAGGGACTTGAAACAGGTGTGTATTCCAACACTGTTTTGTCTTTCTATGCCACTAGCATATCTCTAGGATAATATTCAGATTCAGTTACTGCTGTCCCCGAGATCTATTAGCAACAGCAGTAACACTTCCTGTGTCTCAAAGAGAAGAATTTACTGTCAGTAACTCTCTCATCTTCCCCCCACTGAGGAACTCCAATAAACTGGGACAAGAAATAAGATAATTTTGTATACAAATCCATGTTGAAATGATAACATTTCAGATATATTAACAAATTTTACATTCTTTTTCCTACCAAGTGTTGGCAATACAGTGTGTAACTTAGAGTGAATCAAGTCCAACAGCTCTCTTTCAAGTGTTGATTAAGCAACCACATGTTGGATAGCATAGCATAGACAGTGATGTGGACAGTCTCACAAACTTGGACATAAATATTGATCAAATACAGAGCAAACAGAAAAAAAGGTACAAGTAACAAACACATGTATGAAAAAATGCGTCAGGGGAAGAAAGGGAAAAGACCAAAAGAGCTATGTACAAATTTATAAAGTTCAAAGTTCTACATGTTTTCATCATAGCTAAGCTAGAAAAGAAACTGAATCTACTGTATGTAGCCCAAATGAAAGTTTTAAACTTTAAAGTAAACCAGATTTTTTTCTTTTGGCTGCTTATCAGCAATATGTTAATATCAGCTACTTTTCAGAAGAAATTTGAGGAAAATTGTACTTTAAAATGCTTATTCAAAGTTTTATAGGAATCACAAAGGAAATCATACCATCAAAAATAAATTACTATCTTCTGCCATTTAATAAATCCAAACTTAAAATTCTATTTTAGAATCTAGACAATTTTCAATAGGAAGAAAAAGTGCCAATTTTTATAAATGCTATGAATAGTATCTTCTTATATAGAGTAATCTCTATTATAGAAAGTATAACATACAAAAAAAATCTTAAAGATCTGTTTAAATGCACCAATAAAATAACACAAGGATAACAGTCTAAAAAAAAACCTAAAAACTAGAGAGCAACCAACTATGATTAGAACAAGATTTTGCCTAAAAATCCAACTATATCCACAGGAAATAATAATCAACTTACCATTTTATTTCTATACTTCATATATTTTTTAAGCTTTTATTATTAAATCATAGCTGTGTACATTAATGCAATCACAGGGTACAGTGTGGTGTTTTCACAGCCCTATTTTGAAACTAATTTATAGCTTTCACAGGAATGTTATAACCTAAATATATTTCTATAATAAGTAAAAATATTTTAAGAATGTGAGATAATATAAAAGAGAGAAATGAGTACAATTCATTTGTAATTGTTTTTATTTTTCTACTTTACCCTTCATGCCTTAAAGTTTTTCCACCCTGAGTAGAGTACCCTGGCATCTGTGGCATTACAGCTGACGGGAACCTCAAACTCCTGGATTCAAGCTATCCTCTTGCCTCAGCCTCCCAAGTAACTGGGACTACAAGCACTCACCACAATGCCTGGCTAGTTTTTCTATTTTAAGTAGAGGCAGGATCTCCCTGTTGCTTAGGCTGATCTGGAACTCCTAAGCTCAAGTGATCCACCCCACTTGGCCTCTTAGAGTGCCAGGATTACAAGTGTGAGCCATCACACCTGGCCATGCCTCGCAGGGGTTGTTAAACTTTCTAAACAGGGTGCCAGTTCACTGTCCCTCAGACCACTGGAGGGCCGGACTGCAGGCCCTGGGACCAGTAGGCTGCTAAGTAGGACAGGCAGTGGAGGTAAAAACACCCTGGGGGCCAGATAAATGTCCTCGGTGGGCAGTAGTTTGAGGACGCCTGCCTTAAAGTGTCTTCTGTAGAAGAAAATAGATAATTCCTTAAATAAGGCATCTATATTTCTCTAAGAATGTACAAATGGCCAAACCCACATTTCTTAGATTTTAATCTCAAATGAACATGTAGAGAAAAAAATTCAACGTAAAATAACAGTTCTACAAAAAGCAGGCGAACAATGATGTAAGCCTCTAAGAGATGAACACAAACAGGCAAGAAAAGGGGCTTCAGGAACATACCACGTGACCAACTGCTTCCTAAAGTCAAGCCTCTGGGACAGCGGTTCTTAACCTGTGGGTCTCCACCCACAGGAACTGTATTAAAGAGCCGCAGCATGAGGAGGTTGAGAACCACTGCTGAGGTTATCTATACCAGCTTCTCTCATTAACTAAGACACTCAACTGTACTACATTTTCCACATTGAATGCAGTTTGGATACATGCACCTAAATTTTTATCTGGTTCCAAAAAGGAATATGTCAATAAATGACAATTTCTGATTTCATAGAACCAACCTCTAGGCCAAATCTCCAATTTGTTAAGCAACAGCTATCTGGAACACAGCAGTGAGAAGGATTCCGAGGTTGTACCCAGACCAAACGTGATCTACGTCACATTTCCTACACATTCTTCTTCATATGTGAACATCCTCTCCTTCCCAACCTCTCCATCTTTGTTTCATTTCCCAGGTGTAACTAAAATGGTGTGGCCATTTCTAAGAGGCTGGGTTACAAGATGATCACAGTAGAAGATGAGATGTTTCATGTTAGTGTCATGATGCTGCCTGATATTTTGCTTTTTGACAATAGTGTCACTATTGGTAAAGAGTATTATAAGATAAAACAAGCATATTTAACATATAATCACCTAAACCATGATCGCTTTAAGGAATATGTGTAAATCACTTTTAAATCATATGTATAAATCTTCATTGGATATAGAATAAGACACTGGCTTGACATGTCTTTTCTTTTTTTTTTTTTGAGGCAGAGTCTCTTTGTTACCCTTGGCAGAGTGCCATGGTGTTATAGCTCACAGCAAACTCAAACTATTAGGCTTAAGCCATCCTCTTACCTCAGCCTCCCAAGTTGCCGGGACTACAGGCACCCACCACAATACCTGGCTATTTTTAGAGATGGGGTCTCCCTTCTGCTCAGGCTGGTCTCGAACTCCTGAGACCAAGCAATCCACCCATCTCAGCCTCCTGGAGTGCTAGGATTATAGACAAGAGCCACCATGCCTGGCCACAGTTTTTGACATGTCTTTTAAAAAAATGGCAAGAAAGGCTTGGTGCTTGTAGGACAGTGGTTACAGCGCCAGCCACATACACTTAGCCAGGCCAGCTAAACAACAATGACAACTGCAACAAAAAATAGCCAAGCATTGTGGGAGAATTGATTAAGCCCAAGAGTTGGAGGTTGTTGCGAGCTGTGACAGTCTGCCGAGGGTGACAATAATGAGATTCTGACTCAAACAAAAAAATGGCAAGAAAACAGACCCATCTCCGAGGGAAATACTTAGCCTATTTTGTAAAATATGGTAAACTAATGTTATCAACATGAACATAAAATTGCAACCCTAAAGAGCACTAAAAATTTTTATCCACCCACATTTTATACAATTCTAAAATCTAACTTTATTCTTGATTTTCTCATTTCAAAAAAAAAGATGCCACTAGATGTGTAGGTAAGTTTTAAGGGTAAGCCGCAGAAATTTAGCATGCTCTTAAATAAGTTACAAATAAAAGAATGTTAAGCATTTTTGCTTTATCTCAAAAGTTATTTCCATTAAATAATAGCTCAGAATATAAATCACAGAAGTCTCAAATATAAATTTTCTTCATTATTTTGTTTTTCCTAGCCTGTATTCTACTTAAAATACTTAATGGTCCTAGGTGGTGCCTGTGGCTCAGTGGGTAGGGAGCCGGCCCCATATACCAAGGTTGTCGGGTTTGAACCCAGCCCCAGCCAAACTGCAACAAAAAAAAGAGCCAGGTATTGTGACAGGCACCTGTAGTCCCAGC